GAGGCTGCGTCCAGCCATTCATTCATTCCTGCGGATGCCATGCGGAAGCGCTGCCTCAGCAGCTTGTGCGAGGAGGTCTGCAGTGCGCCCGAAGTGGAAGTGGGCAGTGAAGTGTAGTATAGCGATAGGGTAGTGGCAGCTAGCGCTGCCATAGCTGTAGTACAGTGTGTGTGTGTGCTGCGTATGAACACTGAGTGTTGCGTGTGGGACATCCAGGGTGATCCAGCGTGCGAACAGTGAGTTGTGTGGGCGCAGAGCCGCCATAGCCAGTTGAAGAGAACTCTTATCCGGTTACGATATCTTTGACTACTGTGTGGGCGCATGTCGCCAGTTTGCTGTATCGCTGTTTGCATGCAAGACAAGTGTGAATGATCCGAGTCTGACAGCAATCTAGTTTCACTACCTCCAAAGAAAAAAGTTTGAAAAACAAACACCCTAATTAACATATATCAAGAAGGGAAAAAACAAAAGAAAAAAAAAGCAAAGAAAAAAACAAGACATTGGCGAGGGGCTCCGCTAAAAATTGTCTGATGATCTCTAATCTAGTGTCCCATCCCAACTTTCGGAAAACAATGCGAACACCGTAATAATTACGAACGGCAGGAAACTGGCAAAGAGCTCCGCTATCCAGTTTGCAAAACTGGCAGAAACTGGCAGAAAGAGCGAACGTAGATGGAGCTTCTATCTCCTTTTTTTTTTTTTTTTTTTTTTTTTGAAGCCTATCTCCTATTCGCTCCAGAGCCAGCATCTGTATATGCCACCATCAGATATTTCAGCGACAAAGCTCGGTCAACCAAGGGTCTTAAATGTCTCTTGTTGCAGGCTATTCTGGAAATGAACACGTTAAAACTTAAAACTTAAAAGTTAAAGCTTAATACTGGTTAAAATGTACTCATATTGCAAGCCATTCTGGGGACTAACAACTTAAAAAGTTAAAAAGTTAAAAAGTTAACTGGTTAAATGTACTCCTGTTGCTGAGGACTAATAAGTTAACGCTGGGTAAAAAACCGTAAATGAACTCCTGTTGCTGGCTGGCTATTTTGGGGACTAACAAGTTAAACACTGGTTAAATGTGCTTCGGTTGCAGGCTATTATGGGGACTAACAAGATCCTTGATTTGACAGGCGGAAAGAGAGTGGACATACCTTCCTTGTCCATGCTTGTTGAGGCAGTGGAGAGAGAAAGAGTGGCATTGTCAGAAGAAGGAAGTGAGGAGTTGGAGAGGGAGAGTGCCATCTCTCACGGACAGCCGGTAGAACAAAGGAAAGAAGAAAGCATTAGTGGAAGCGTGGACATTCTGCAGTCGCTGCCGCTGTTGTCTCGGGCTGAACCGACGAGCCACGGTGAAAGTCAGCGTCAGGCTCCTGAAGGACATGAAAATGCAAGCATCATCGATCCCAATGCAGTGGCCGAAGCTGCGTCTAAGGACTTGGACGAGACAGGGACCCCACATGAAGAGGATATAACATCAGAGATGAGACTTGGAAAAAGAGAAAGGGAGCACTTGGAAGCAGAAGTGGGCAGGCTGCTTGGAAGAGTACTGTGTCACATTCTCCAATACCTCCCTTTCCACCATTGAACAGCCCTCGGGAATAACCACTTTTCTTCTTCTTCTTCTTCTTCTTCTTCTTCCTCTTCTTATATTTATATTTCTTCTCCTCCTCCTCCTCCTCCTTCGTCGCCTTCTCCTCCTCCTCCTACTACTACTACTACTACTACTACTAGTACTACTACTACTACTGATACTACTACTACTACTACAACTACTACTCATCCTTCTTCTTCTTCTTCTTCTTCTCCTCCTCCTCCTCCTCCTCGTTTTTCTTCTTCTATGTCTTTCAGAAGGACTTAGCCCCTGGCACTTTTGTAGTGCTTAAAGTTCGAACTCTTGATCTGTTTGTCAACAGTTACATGTGAACACCATGCAACCACCATTCAGGTACTGATTGCTTGCTTCCAGAACTTAACTTCTTTCTATGCACAGTATGCTTACGTTAACTACGTTAACTTGTATTGTGGCTGCATGGTACGCATGAAATCGTCGGTATCTGACATGTGGCTGCATGGTACGCGTGATGTGGTTGTTACCGACGGTTTTGAACTCTTGATGTGTTTGTTAACTTTGTTACCAACGGTTTCATGAGTTACCATGCAGCCACATGTCAGATACCGATTGCTTGTGTCTGAAAGTTTTCTTTGCGCACGCTGTACGTGTTATGCGGACTGGTATGCACAGAAATGAAAAGTTGCGAGGTTTTGCAGGAATGCCCTTATAGTAGGCTTATACGGTTTGGTTTTGTTTTGTTTTGTTTCGTTTTGTTTATTTGCAGACGTTGATCTTGGCCATCTTCCGCTGAACACAATGATTACTCCCGAAGAAAGGAATGTACACGATCTATGTCTGTCCAGGTCCGATACTGTCATGATGAGGGTGCGGGGTGCGTTAGAGTTTGGGGGACGAGGGTAGCATTTGTTTGTTTTGCTCCCAAGTCTGTTGTTGTTGTTGTTGTTGTTGTTGTTCTTTTTTCTTTTTCTTTATTTTTACCTGGCAATTTCTCCCCTGTGTGTTTTCCCTTTTACCAACTTACCGCTCATGTAATCTTTTTTTTTTTTTTTTTTTTTTTACCGCTCTGTCGTGTGCGATTGACGATTCTATATTCCATTTGTTGACACCATGTGTGACTCTCTCCCCTTTGATCAGGTTGCTGCAAGTGGCGAAGGAGGGTACAAGATCTGGGGTCTGAAGGCCCGATATCACAAATTGCTGTCAGAGGCAGATGCACAGTTAGAATGTCTGCTGAAACAGACTCGAGCGCTGCAGGTAGTGGCCTGGCCATGGTTATTGACGAACCCACACTCGCAACGACACTCCTCCGGTGATCGATCAACAACCTGGGCTTCTTAAGGAAACAAGTGGACCCGCCGCAGCGACACTGCGGCGATGGGGAAGTGGGGGTGGGGAGAGAGGGCAAAGAGAAGGCGTTGGAGGAGGAGAGAAAGCGGGAGGCGGGAGAAAGAGTGCGAACGCGACTCTACGGCCTTCCGCCCTCTCAGCCGTCCCCGCCCTTTCTTCCCCCCACCCGCATGGCCCGATTCCGCACCCGCCGACAGGTGTGTGTGAGAGAGAGCGCCGTGGGTGAGAGAGAGAGAGAGAGAGAGAGAGAGAGAGAGAGAGAGAGAGAGAGAGAGAGAGAGAGAGAGCATTCGTCCACCCCTCCTCAGACCCAC